TGTCACGGTCTTTTTAACAGCATTTAATGCTTCCAATCACCACCCTAGTCTGAAATACTGCCTTTCATAGCTTTTTTGATTTCCTGAAGTGTCCCTGCTTGAGCAGGAGTGTTGGACTAGATGATCTCTAGAGGTCCCTTCCAACCTCAACCATTCTGTGAGCCTGCGATTCTGTGTAAATGAAACTGCAAAAGCAAACCTTTAGGATGTAGATTTCCTGGTCTTTCTCTCATGCATTTCACAGCAATGAGCTTGCTATGTCAGAAACTAGCAGAGCCTGGAGGCTGCAGGACTCGTGGGTGGCATTGCCCAGACAAGAGGTGGGTTCATAGGGCAGTATTTCCAATCCTGGCCGGGGCCTGCTTGCCATGCTGCTGTGGTAACCGTCATGTCAGGACACAGAGGTCAGGCTTCCGGCCTGGGTCAGGCCTAAGTCCTGCCCAGACCAGAGTCTTCTGGTCAGTGGCTAAGAACATCTCTGATATCTGAGGTGAAGAAAGTATAAAGAGAAAAGGTAAAACCAACTAATGATCTCCCTGTGCACTGCTCCAATTTCCAGTGGCTCATGGCTCCGGCACTTCCCAAGCCGGGGAGTTCACTGTGTGGTGCATTCAGGGATTCATTCTTCCTTTGTTTTGATCCAGGAGAAGGCTGATATGAGACAGAGAGCTGTCCTTATTCCCCCAGATGTCAAGTGAATCGTGTTGAAATGGACTCAGCTGGTGTGAGGATAAATGACATGTGATTTAGTATGGACATGTGAACTGTGTCTTGGCCTATGAAATTCCACCAGAAACACACCTGTGAAGACTTGTAACCTCAGAGAGTTTCATGTCAGGAATTTCATGTAGTCCAAATATTTGTGGACTTGCTTTCAGCAGAAAATGGCTCTAAGCAGTTCCCTCATATCCTCCGCGGAGATGCCCACGTGGCAGTTGTGCCGGAGGCAGCCTTGTAGCAAAGGGCATGTTAACATGCCTAGGAAACAATCCACACATAGAATTGCTACTTGGATTGTGTGGCAGTAATAGTGTGAGCGGCATTGCATCTTCTGCAGAGTGGATTATCTGCATAACAAGAAAATTTGGCACCTATGAGTTTGGTTTCTGCATTATGGAAAGCATTTAGGCTTCTTCTAGTGCAGGCCAAGTGCACAGTGTAGTAGGAGCACAGCATGCATGGAACAGGTAGTGTCAGAGCCAGGGCTGGATGTTGATACCAGCGCAGCTTTGTGTCCTCAGAGTGGGAGGGTTTTGTCCCTAGGATGGCTTCTGTTGAGAGGAGGAAATGCTGGAAGGATGCTTTGTGAGTTGTGATGGAAAAATTAGCAGAGGATAAGGAGCCCTTCTAGGCTATATATATGAGATTATGTGTATGTATGTAAGTGTGTGTGTGTATGCCTACATTAACTTCTACACCTTCTGCTGCCTTCAACTTCATGCCCTCCATTTGCCCAGCAACTTGAGAGCGAGCTTTGTGCAGAAATGTGCCTGTCTTCCACCCAGGAATTTACAGTTCACTGCAGAGGACATGCAAGGCTTTCACCATGGCTTTGCCAGGAAGCTCTAGTTCTCTCTAGGCAGATTTGGGATATTTCCCTAATGAACAAGCTGGTTGATGTAGGCAAAATGCATTTATTGTACTGTCTGAGCATACTGAGCAGGATGGTTGGATCCCAAGCAGTCCACTGTCTTAGTCCCTCTCCCTTTTATTCTGATTGATTTGCTTTCCAACAAGCTTCCTCCTTGTCAACGCAGAGTTGGTAATGTTTGCGGCTAATATGGGCGAGAAGCACTGAGGCTTATGCCTTCCAAGTCAGGTCTGACGAAGGAGCCTTCCAAATATGCCTGTCCTTCACTTGTCCAAGACTCTGCCAGAATATTTTGAGCAGCAATTCTCTGAAGTTTTGCCAATTGAGAAGGGTCAACCTGAAAGCTCACTTTCCTGAAGGAAATGTTCCCCACTTTACAACCTAGGTCTGAATTCCTCTTTTTTTCCTTACTTCAGCAGCAGTTTCCCAGATGGCCTTTTTCCAGAGCTGTTTCTAATGTCCAGCTGGATCAGCAACGTCATGGTTCTTTTGGCCAGACAATGGGCATCTTATCTGAGAAAGATGACAGGTTGATCTGTCATAGCCTGTCTTTGGAAAATTGCCCATCTGCCCCTTTTCCTCATACTGTGATGTCTTTAATAGACTTTGTTACTTCTTGTTTAACTCCCTCCCTTTGAGGAGCTATTACTTCTCAAGCCTTGTTGTTCCAGGCCGTGTTCTAGCCCCTGCCTGGTCTGTTTCCCATGGTGTGCAAGAAGGCAGATCTGGAAATGTTTCTGCTGAGGCACTGTGCCTGCTGTTAGATGTTGGGAGGGAGGAGAGATATCTTACTCTTTCCTGCAACTAACCTGTTCTTGATCCTCTGTTCTGCACTCTTTCTTTCTGATATTCTCTTTCTGCCTTTGTACAAAGCAATGTTTCCCTACTTGTTTATGCCTATTATTTATATGCTGTGGTTCAGCGTTTTCTGTCACGGTCTTTTTAACAGCATTTAATGCTTCCAATCACCACCCTAGTCTGAAATACTGCCTTTCATAGCTTTTTTGATTTCCTGAAACCCATAGACATTTGCCATCTGCATTTTTTCCAGAAGCATTTTGTATGCATGGTCCTCATGGCTCCAATTCTCCAATGTCTCTAGTTACTTTGCAGTTCTTGCTAGAGCTGTCGTTGTTTCTGCATTTCTAGTGCAGAAACTACATTTCTAGTGCAAAGGTATGAATTCTGCTGGTTGACCATGCCACATGAAGATAGTTTGCAAGGTATCCATTCAGCTTTTTTTTTTTTTTTATCAGTATCCGTTAGGGATGTTGGGATGTGCTCTCAGATTCCCTCCTGAAATCTTCTTAAAGACTTATGTCAGATTCATCATTTCCATATTGCTGGCACATACTCAAGCACTGGTGATGCGCCACGAATAATAATTCTGCTATTTCAGGTTCTTTAACCATATTGGCTAAGTGCTATATGGTCCTATTGCGCTCTTTCTCTTCCAAATATTCCAAAACCTCATCAGGAGGTTTATCTCACTTTATTTCAGAAACATTCCCTGTGCAATTTTCAGTTTGCAGATGCTGTTGTTGGCTACATTTTTAGTATGAATAGGGCATGCCTGGAGGAATCAGTGCACTCTGTGGACCCTGATGAACCATCTAACAAGTTATGTCCAGCCTTCACTGTAGCAGCATTTTCTGCTGCTGTCGGTGTAAAATGAGAGCTCCAAGGAATGTTAGGCACCAACCAAACAGAATTTCGGGAACGCTAGTCCTTCAGAGACAGACTTCTCAACCCTGTAATTCTACAAAGATGTGGCTGTGCGGTGAAGGCTGGAGACAGCAGGACACACTTTCTGTATTAAAAACCTCTTTCTCCTGCTGACAAATGAAATAAATGCTTTAAAATATTCCTTGCCAGAAGTGTCTAGACCAAAGAGTTGCTGTTGTGTACTGTAGTTAGAAAAAATAAGCATGAGATGAAAGTGAAGGTATTGACTAAATTTCGAGCCAAACAGGCTGGGTATCATAATTAAAAAAAACTTAAACATATTTGGGAGGAGACATGGAATGATACAGGGGAATTTGGATCCTTCGCTAATCTGACCGTAGCAAAAATAAGCTAACATTTCTGGGGCTCATTTTCACAGTAAAGAAATTCTTCCCCAACTTCAGATGGAACTTTCTGTGTGTTAGTTTTCCTCAAGTTGCTTCTCGTCACTAGGCACCACTGAAAAGAGTCTGGCCCCATCCTCTTGATACCCTCCCTTCAGATACTTAAGTGCAATTATAAGATCTCCCTCAGTCTTTTCTTTTCCAGGATGATCAGTCCCAGGTCTTTCAGCCATTCTTAATATGAGAAGCCACGCTCCAGGTCCTAAAGTAAGGCAGAAACCCTCCACTGGACTTGCTACAGCAGCTCCATGTTTGTCTTTATCTTGGGGAGCCCAGAAGTGGACATAGGGCTGAGTAGAGGGGACCTGTCAGCACTGGTCTTTCTAATGCACCCCAGGATACTAGTTGCCTTCTTGGGCACAAAGGCACATTACTAGCTCATGGTCAACTCCTTCCTTCCCTCCTTCTTGTCTTTCTGTCTCTCCCTCTCTCTCTTTCTTTCTTCTTTTCTTCTCTGTTTCCCTCCCTTCATGCCCTCCCTCTCGCCCTTCCTCCCTCTCCCTCATTGAGGAGTGCACTTTTCTGGCAAGGCACGGTGTCAGAGAGATGGGAAGTGCCCGGAGATTTAAAATGCTCAGCTTGGTGCTGTTGACAGGAAGTGTCTAAAAGGACCTTGTTTTCTGCAGGTCAGAAATATTTTCAAAAACAGTCTTGGTACTATTACGTGGCCTTGGCTTTTGTGCTCCGGAGATAGAGTCGGGAGACTCTTTCATGCTCAAGTTGTCATAGCTTTAAGGCTCTCCATGCTTCAGAGTGGGCAGTGACTCCAGTAGGGTCCATTGGCTGCATCTGCTAAAACTTCCTTTTAGAGATGCTCTTTATTATGGGCTATTATAGACCCATGATTTTCTAAAGATCAGTTACTTTTGCATCAGCACTTATTAGGGTGACATGCAGCCTGACTCCAGAAATAGTGCATCAGTGCAAAAGGACTCCCATCCTCCATGTAGGGCAGCATGTCACAAAGTGAGAAATGTTTTTTCCCTGCCCATTCTGTACTGTGATTCCATGTCATAATTTCTGCTATGCTCAGGGGAACAGCCAGGACAGCACAGTGAAATCTTTGGGACTATTTTATTCTAGCCTAATCTAACTTTAAAACTGTGTTACTGAGAAAACATGCAGAATTCTGTACTGAAAGTACTGCAGAATTCCTAGGTTGCTGTAATGGTTTTACTTAAAATTCTAAATTATTCTTAAAATTAATCATTTGAAAATGTCTAAAATGTATGTAACTGCAGAATTGAAACATAATAACCAAAAACACTGCTTGTGCTGTATATGCAAAGGAATCTACTGACTTTATTCTCTAGACGCTGAAGCAGCTGCAAAATCCATAGCAGAAGAAAATGGCAGAGGTTCACATTTTGTGGACCACCCAAGTCAAATTGCTGTGTCTCGGTATCCTCACTCTTCTTCTGCTATCTTCTTGCTGTGAAACTCGCGGCTCTTGACTCGGAGCTTGTTGACCTGCGACTCTGCAATGTCAGCCCGCTCCTCGGCTTCCTCCAGCTCGTGCTGGATCTTGCGGAATTTGGAGAGGTTGACATTGGACAGCTCCTCCTGTAGTGGGAGAGAAAGGTGGTGAAGAGCAGGGATTTACCTTCTGAATGGAACTTGAGGGGTTCGGGATGAAAACTGGGGAAAGGCCCAACCCTTCCACCTCCCAACTATCACTATTTCCCAAGAAAGGGAGGTCAGTAGACTTCCTTTTCTTTCCCTGTTTAGAACACAATGACTGCTTTCTTCTTTTGAGAGACTCTTGCTCTGCACAGAGTAAAACTTACAGCCTCCTCAGCTTGTCTCTTGTAGGACTTCACTTTCATTTGCAGCTTGTCCACCAGATCCTGGAGCCTGAGAATATTCTTCCGGTCTTCCTCAGACTAGAGCAAATGGTGAGAAGAAAAGAGAGTGCATTGCTTTCCTGCCTCCTGCAGGACGTTAGCAATTCCCCTTGGGAGTTGTGTGCCAACATTCTGACTCCCTGGGAAGGGGGTGTGCCTGTGCCAGCAGAGAGGCCTCCTGCCTTACCTGGTAGGTCAGCTCCTTCACCCTCCTCTCGTATTTGCGCACACCCTTGACGGCTTCAGCGCTGCGCTTCTGCTCAGAATCAACCTCCCCTTCCAGCTCACGCACCTGCAATGGGAAAACAATCCATGCAGCTGCACTTGTGCTGCCTCATGGGACATGTTCCCTCATGAACAAATACTAGCCCTCACTCACCCTGGCCTCCAGCTTCTGGATTTGCTTCTTGCCTCCTTTCAGTGCCAGCTGCTCAGCCTCATCCAGACGCAGCTGCAGATCCTTCACTGTCTGGTCCAAGTTCTTCTTCATCCTCTCCAGGTGGGCACTTGTGTCCTGCTCCTTCTTCAGCTCTTCTGCCAACTCACATCTGTGATGGCCTTCTTGGCCTTCTCTTCAGCATTGCGGGCTTCCTGGATTGTCTCCTCCATTTCACTCTGAATGTGGGAAATGTCTGTTTCCAGCTTCTTCTTGGTGTTGATCAAGCTGGTATTCTGTGGAGCAGAATACATTTTTTTTTCTCACTCAGTTCTAAAGCACAAGTTCTAAAGCTCATGTTAAGAAATCTAACATTATGATTATCAGTGTTTCTAATATCAGCAGACTCCTTCACTTGAATCACCTTGCCAGGTTATAAACAGCCCGTCAACAGTTATAGTTATGTCTGCTCTTAATTAAGTCATATTTACAATCCAATTCCTTGTTTCAGGGTAACAATTTCAGTTCAGGTTAAGGAACAGACAATCTAGATAATTTACATAGACAAAGAATCAGAAAAGGAAAAATCCTGTGGCTCACAGGATAAATTTTGGTAGCAGTCATAGTGATGGTGTCATAATTAAGATTAACACATTTAAACCTTAATGTTGTGACCATGAGGAAAATGATAAATAACATTAGGGAGTTTATGATTGTTTTTTTGTTTCTTTCTTTTTTTAATGTCAGGAGAAAATCTATTTATCTCTAAAGATTTGCCTTTAACAACAAACTTCTAAAGAATCACATTCTCTCATTGTATCTTATTTATAAAGTAGTGACCTCCATAAACACCCGTTGGAGTTATTTTCACACAGGAAAATGACCTGAGTGTGGAGAAGCTGAACTCTCTCGCTCGCATCCATCAGTTCCTGCTCAGCCACTTTCCTTGACCGCTCCGTCTGCTCCAGGGCTGCTCGGAGCTCCTCAACTTCAGCCTGCAACAGGTTTGCTCTGCGCTCCACCATGGCCACCTGCTCCTTCAGGTCCTCCTGTGTCCTGACAGCATCGTCCAAGTGTATCTGGGTATCCTGTAAAGAAGGCCGCAGAAATTAATACAATGCATCACTGCTACCCTTGCATGTGTAGTTATAATGCAAGTATAATATTACCCAAGCTAAATGCTTGCATACACGTATTGGGCTTAACCAACCTTCAGCACTGCCTGTGTGTTTCTCAGGTGCTTCTGGGCCTCTGCAGCCACACGGTTGGCATGGCTCAGCTGGATCTCCATTTCATTGAGGTCTCCCTCCATCTTCTTCTTCAGCCTCAGGGCTTATTCCTGCTCCTGATCTCAGCATCCAGGCTGCTCTGCAGGGACTCCACAACTCGGAGATGGTTTCTCTTCAGCTGTTCAATTTCCTCATCCTTTTCTGCTATCTTCCGGTCAATCTCAGATTTGATCTGGTTGAGCTCCAGCTGGAGGCGCAGGATCTTCCCCTCCTCATGTTCTAGAGAGGCCTAAAAAAGAACAAAACAGGCCGTATTAATAAAAGTGAATTTCCTAATGGGACAGCCTCCTGCACAACAAATTAGGCCTATTTTTTTAAGTATGATTTGGAAATTGAGGTTACAGTTTGAAACTCAACAGAGAGAGAGCAACGCCATATGGCTTACAGCCTCAAGCAGTTATTTTCCACAATGTTTCCCAGTTCTCCCAGGCTGGAAACCAGTGATTATAGCTACTTACCTCAGCTTCCTCCAGAGCTGCTTGGATTTCAGATTTCTCCTGCTCAGCCTGCTTCTTCGCTTTCTCCAGCTCATGAATGGCCTTTCCACTCTCTGCAATCTGCTCCGTGAGGTCAGAAATCTCCTCTATACGAACAGAGACAAGTGGCAGGGTCAGGCACTGAACAACATAGGAAATATCCTACCACATGAAGATGACAGCCATCCTCACCATATTGCAGACACAAACCCCTGCAGGTTGGTGGATAGAGAAGCTTGTGAGAAGCTTGTCAGTAGCTGGGCACCCGGCACTTACGCTGCAAGTTCTTGTTCTCGCGCTTCAGGGTTTCCAGGTGGTCCAAGGACTCCTCGTAGGCATTCTTCATCTTGAACAGCTCCGTGCTGAGAGAGCGAGCCTCCTTCTGGGAGGCTTCCAGCTCAGCCTGCGTTTCCTCAT